ACGATGACAGCTTTACGGATAAGATTTTTTCTAGTTTAATATTTAAAGGGTAAATTACATATTTAATAATTGAATTTGACTCTCTCTTATTTCACTCATTATATTTTATATTTTTCAATTTAATCACTGAACTTTATACGTTAAATATTTTTTATAACTGTTGTTAAATTTGTAACGGATTATGTTGTAGCTGGATGAAAAGATTTTTTAATCTTTAGTCTTTGGAAGTCAGAAAAAAGTGACTATTCTCTCTCTAGATCTTCTCGTCTTCCTAGTCGCTCTCTCTTACCCGCTAAGTCTAGCATTCTCTCGGCCGTTCGCAATGTCGTTTCCAAAGTCTACGTGGAAATCATCAAAAAGGCAGAGACTCGCTCCGAACCAGTGTCTGGAGAAGAGAATGTGGATCAAGACAAGGTGATTATAAACTTAAGTGGAGACCTGTAGTCGCGATTGAGAAGAAATGAAGCCGATGTCGGAATTGGAGTGAGACTCCAATTTTGAGGTGGATAATCCGAGAGTTTATAAGAGAAGTAAGTGGGAGAGAGAAGAGTAAGACGGTCGGAGACGGAGAAGTGCAGAGGAATTGAAAACATGGAGGAGAAATCATTTGCAGAAGATGAGCTAATAAATGAAGAGTTTAAACGAGCGATCGAAGATTTTATTACTAAACAGTTGAGGTTTCGTCAAGAAGAGTCTTTGTCCGTTGCTCTTCGGGGTAAAGCTTAAAAAATAGCAAAGAAAAGAAGGTAGAGACCTGATCAGGGTACGTTGTACAGTCGTACAAGGAGAATGGAGGGAGGGATTAGCAAGTAGCACCTAATATAGTTTTTGTTAACCAAATCCTATCACGATAAGTGTACTATTTTTACTTTGCTTGTATTGCATGTAGAAAATAAATAAAGGGTAAATTACCATCCATAAACATTGAGTGACCAAATTCCCCATTTAAACTTTTTCCTCGAGCTTTGATGGCACAAAAATATCAGTTATGTTTTCATTTGCAAGATAAACTGATGACATATGGATTGTTGTTATCATTGTTTGCAATAAACTCTGCTTACTATTTTTCGAAGAGGCAAAGTTTATAATACCAGTATGATATATTTGGTAACCTCCTTTACTTGGAAAACATAAGGCTTTTGTTTGGTAAGCTCCTTTACTTGAAAAACACAAAACTGAGAGGAAATATGATGATTTTGTACTTGTGCAACTGAAACTGCAAATATATTGAAGGTAACAGTTTGGTTGAATTTGCAAATCTTAATGATGATAAATGGCTATAGAAGATGCAAATGAGTAAAGAAAGATGTCATGTCATAACAGAGTTAGGAAGAAAATCATAGTGTGACAAAAATCAATGTATAAAATTCAATGATTAAAATTCAAAAGAATTAAAGTATAGTGGGTGAAATAGGAGATAGAGTATACTAAATTTATAATTTACCCATATTTAAATAAATCATGCTTTTAAAAGTTTATTTAAAAAATATGGTAAACTACACGTTTAATACCTAAACTATTGACTTCATTTTATTTTAGTATGTAAACTTTGATTTGTGTCAAAAGCATACATAACATTTACTTTTTGTTTCATTTTTAGTACTCATTGTTAAAAAATTAACGGAAATGGTGCACATGTTATTTTTATGGATAAAATACATCAATAATCACTTAATTATCTTCTCATTCATATTTTGGTCACTAAAGTTTAAAAAATTTCAATTTAACTACTCAACTTTCAAATTGTTAATGTTTTAATCACTCTAATTTATTTTATTAATAATTTTTTTGACATGATATTTTTTATTGTTATTCTTTTAACAGATGATCAAAATATTAAAAAATTGAAAGCTAGAGTGATTAAATTAGGAGTAATTTGAAAGTTAAGTAATTAAATTGAGAAATCAACCTTTTGTGACCAAATTAGGAGTGAGAAGATATTTGAGTGATGAATGATGTAATTTACCAATAAAAAGTGTCATGTTGTAACAATTCCGCTAAATTTTAACGACGAGGTACCAAAATGAAATAAAAAATACACGTTATGTATGAATTTGAAACAAACAAAAGTTTAGCTATTAAAAAATATCGATAATTTAAGTACTAAACGTGTTGTTCACCCTAAAAATAATATCATTCTAATAAAAGTGTGTCAATAAAACCTATTTTTTAGAGGTGTGTTAAAAATATCTTTTAGAGGCGTGTTTTATAAAATGTAATTTTATTGACGTAATATTTTTTCGAATAAACTTTTTAATTTTTATAATTATTTAGGATAAAAATATAAGAAATAAGAATAATGAATTAAAAATATTAGGTGATAGTCAATAATTTCTAGAATATATGATTAAATGCTCTTGACACTTTTTCTTTTTCTTAGGTTATGGGTTTAATATTTATTAAGAGTAAAAAATTCCTCCCAAAATAAGAATTGTTATATATATATATATTATGTGTTAAAGATATGTATTTGCATAAACACAAATCAATTTAACGATGCCGAAAGATGCATAAATATTTTTAATTAGTTAATATATTTTTAAAATATTATAATTAAATAGTTGAAATTGTATTACCCGGAAATCAAGCTTCCGGTACAGTTTGAGAGCTGGTTCATTATAGCTATGCACGTGGACACACAGATTCGAGACCTCCAACACAGGTGACTGAAACTAGAAGGGGAAGGGGAATGTTTCCTCAACGAAAGCTTCTAACTTTCTTACCACTTAATAGTGCTTTGCAAAAACGCTGCATCTTGATAGCAATGCGTTGTCGACGAGCCGATTTCAGTACGCACAAGTTCGAAACGTATCCGCATTTTTCAGGTTGTGATTTCTTCTTTTTTTTCGATAATACAGATAATCAAAGATTAAGCAATATAAGCTTGGTCATTAACCACTAAGTCAGCCACCTCGTTAAGAATACACCGATAAAGAACCACGCCAAGAGGACACCCCTAGCCATTGCTGCGAGCTTATCAGCAACTTGATTAGCCTCCCTATATATATGACAAACTTTAACTTCCCAATCTCTGCTGATCACCCCGCGGATTGAAATGATTATCGCTCGACCCTCGAATAAATGCTATTGCTCGAATTCAAAATATCTAAAAAGATTAACACTATGTTTTACAGTTAAAATCTTGTAATAGTTATCTAATAATGACGTACAAAATACATTAAAAAGAACATCCTTTCACTTCAAGAAAGAAATCTTTATAACTTTAGTCCCCGCCTGTCGATCCTCCTAGTGAGTTTCTGCTCTAATATATGCATGCCGCAGTCCAACACAAAGTAAAACAAAAATCATCAACATTCATATGATCAAATGAAAGTGAAAAAACACGAAGAAGAAGAAGAGTTCGAAATGGCATGCACGTACATACATTTCGTCATCAAGGATGATCTCTCTTGCCATGAATTTATCAAAATCTAATGTTTTAACTTGAACTAGATCCAAATCCGACAACTGAAGTCCATCAAATCTAAAATCATCAACATTCATATGTGTTTTAGATAAATTAATATTTAAATAATTTGATAATGAATGTTCAAATATTCTTACGAATGACATACTTAAACTTAAGACATTTAAATATATTAATTCTCTCTTTAATCATTAAAGTCACTTGATTCGTACTTTAAAATTAGACTAACAAAACATTCAAACCAATCCCTCCCTGGACTTTGGGCACGCATAATAAGGTCCATTCTTTTATATGTACCTCAAAATTTGTATACGAATGATATAACTTCAATGAAAGATATATAACATATGGTATATAACCATCGGAGAGAGGGTCTACTCTTTTCTTTTTTATCTAAGAAGGTCCACTCTTGTTATGTAACGTCCAATTAATTATTCATGTAATTTTCCCCTCTAAAAGATTCCTCACCGTGGCTGGCTTTAAATATAGAAATCTGGACTTAATTCATATTAAATGATCCCAGCAAAATATTTATTCATTTCAGATTCCCTCGGATTTTCATTTTTTTAAATCTTAAGAGGATTCAAGTTTTTCCTAAATATTTTTTAGTTCAAATTAAAATAATTTTAGATAATATTTATTTTTAGGCCCAAGATTTTTACGGAAATACCTCGTTTACCAATAAATTTACAATGAAAGTAGTCAACATAAAATTAAGGAACGTATCTTATATCTCATTATAATTCTAAATATGTATGATATGTGAGTGTGAACTGGTTTTTTTCTTAATTATAATTAATCCTTTTTTTTAAAAAAAGGGGTTAATTTCATATTTAAAAAATCGTTATCGTTCTGTCTTCTTTCAGTTATAATTATCATTAATTTCATATAGATATGTGTATCATATTTCGTTATGAAGTAGTGCATTCGTGTCTTCTTTCAATTAAATTGATATGTTTTTAGTAAGATACACGAAACATGTTATGTTATGAAGTAATACATTCGTGTCTTCCTTCAATTAAATTAACATTATATTCCGTTATAAAGTAGTGCATGGATAGGATAAAAAAATTACTTCAAAAATAATTAAAAATTATATTTTACATTTCAAAATGTAGTTATTTCGCCTTTATTATATTAAGTACCTGCACCATATTCCATAACCGAATAATTGAACGAGATGACTTCAAACATAGAAAAATATTGAAATTACATTCCAAAGTCCCATTCCTAACATTTGAGTTTAAATCATTATTATATGGTTGTGAATTGTTTTCAATTTTACATATATTTTTCTCTTTTCTCTTTCAAAATAACTATTAATCTCGCGCCTTCTTTTAAATACATGCATATTTTGTTATGAAGTAATGCATTAAACACATAAAAAAATATTAATCGAAACATAGAAATTAGAAACACTGAAATTACATTTTAAATTCCATTACCTTTCTCTTTCCCAAAGATTTCGAGTTTTACATCAAACAAATGGATTATCACCCTCGTTAAAACCCTTTACTTTTTTTTCTTCTTCTTTAACGAAAAGATGATTATAAACCATTTCTTCTTTTAGAAATTAAGATAACTGGTGACGGTGTTTGGGCACAAATTTTCGAGCCCAAACGTGTTTCCCATTGATGTTAAACTTAGCTTTGCCACTACCATTAAGGATCATTTCAATGGCTGTTGTGGAGTAACAAACGATTCGAGCAAACAATGATTGTTCATTAGGCATCACTTCTTGCATATGTAATGATTCGATGCAATTCCCATAGAACCTTGTGAAAAATTCTCTGACTTCCCATTCCTGAACCGGATACCCTTTTGAGAAGGTAACAAATATGGTTCGATCATCTGGTGGGACTACTTCGTTGGCTTGGGTCAAAGGGTGTCCCACCCTGACCGGACCATTTCCTACCCCCTGAGCCAAACCTGGTTGAGCCGTAGGTTGTTGTTGTACTTGTTGTGACATCATTTGTTGCTTCTGTTGCTGGGCATGATTTGCTAAGCTCTGTGTGGCATTTCGTTCGATGGCGGCTTGCATGATGTCCCTCAACACCCTCATACACACCTCATCGACGATCTTCGCCAAACCTCGCATCGCTATCAGTCGGTGCTTGACAAAGAATTGGAGAGAAAGATCATTGTCAATCAAGTTTTGCATCAAAGTGACATCGTTGGCCGAAGCTGATATCGATACTTGGTCATTGTGAATGATGTTAAGACACACGAAAGCCTCATCGGCGAGTTCATTTATCACCATATAAGGCAAAGACAATATCTTTTTCACAACATGTTTGAAGCCAACTCTTTCCAGCCAAAGCCACAGAGCTACGAACTGAAGAGCTTCCACTGGGTCTAAACATAGATCTATGACGAGTAAGCTATATAATGTACGATCGATGTTGTGAAACATTTTAAAGTCCTCATCTGAAAGAGGAATCATCGTTTCCAATACTGCAAAACCAACCATTTTATTGTAAAAAATGAAATGAAAAAGCTAACCAAATCATATATGTTCATCATTTTTGACGGTGAAAGTAGAAGCAAAAGAGAAACCTGATTCTCAGATAGGAGTGAATTTGCCTTCGGACAAGATGAAATCAAGGGGAGGGGCCCCACCATAAAACAAGACAGTGTTTTCGACTTCATAGCTGTGTGTATGTGCGTTTATATATGTCTTTGTGCTGATGAGTGTGTCTTTGTGTTGAAGAAAATTGACCAATGGGGTGAAATAGTTCTTTCTTGAGGAATTAAAATATTCAATAACCTGAAAACCAACAAAAAGTTTGTTGGGTTTATATGTCAATTAAATAAAGAAAAAATGTTTATGACAAGGTAAAATTAATTAGAGTGTAGGCTTTGTATGGTAATTAGAGTTGGAATCATGTATGGTAATATTCATTATATGGTATTAAGTTATTTGACATCTATACTTATCTTGCAAATGTCTTCCCAACGTGAAAAACGATCTTTTCCCCCTCTAAAAGTTGCATTTCACCACATTTCAAATGTTAAATGATATAACAATTTAATCTTTATATAAATTAAACTTGATCGTAAACATAAATGAAAAGTATATAGAAAGATTGTTTCTCATTTCAATTATATAATTATTTATTATTTTATGTAATTTTTTACGGCCTTTAATTTTGCTTCTTTTTTTTTATCGAAGTTACATTTCATCACAAAATTTTACATTAAAAGAAGAGAATTCTTATAATTTTTTAATTATGTTATCTTTAGATTAACTAATGATATCAACTCAGTCAAAGATTTAATATAATATATCCATAAACTTGGGATTTATTCACGCATTATATTATTATTGATTACTTTTACATTATTAATTCTTCATTTGAACGTTGATTCTATTTTCAAACTTAACATCACCGATTGAATTAGTCGGAGTATCGATTCAACAAATTACTCAATGATGATAGTACTAAAATATATTACATGTTTTTCCATTTTATGTATTTTTCGTGAGAAATTATCAATTCGATGCCGCATCATAAGCTAAGGTGAAGTCGCTCAAATTTTATCAGAAGTTATATAACATATGGTATATAGCATTGGAGAGAGGGTCCATCCTTTTATGTAACTTCCATCAACTAATTATTCACCTCTAAAAGATTCCGTCACCGTGGTTGACCTTTAAATATCAAAATCTGGACTTAATTCATATTAAATAATTCCCAGCAAAATATTTATTGATCTTTGATTCACTCGAATTATCATTTCTCTAATTAAAACCTTGTTCGAGAGTAAAACGGTTCAAGTTTTTTTATCGAAATATTTTAGCTCAAGTTAAGTTTATTTTAGTTTAAATTTATTTGTTCGACATAAATAAAAATTGATAAATTAATTGAATTAAACTCTCAATCGAATAAATAAAAATGGAGAAGCCTTGTATTGAATTAATGTTCGACATAAATAAAAATTTATGTATAGGAGTGAGAAAAAACACTAATTCCACCCCAAAGTCATTCCAATCAGGATCAGTCTGTCTATACAAAGTGGCGTGGAATGAGTTATTTAGGGTCCACGCTGCTCACTTGATTCACCTGATGTATGTGATGATGGATTTCTAAACGTTGAAATCTTCTTCTGCAGTTCGACGTTCGACATCCGCTCAATCTCCAAGGCTCGTTCAAGCTTTAACCATTGATTTGTCATGACATTAATATCATTGAATATGATGATAAAAACATATTCAGCACCCGCATTCGATACATGTCTATATCCGACACTCACAACTGACACATAAATACGGAATGTAAGATTATGAGTGGGAATAAAAAATTACCATGGAATAAAATTATTGAGAATGTTGTATTTTGTGTTGATTTAGCAAGAATGTAAGATTACCATGTTTGGTTAAAGGAATAAAAGATTATTGGAATATATATTTGATCAAATTATCCTTATTATATATTTGTATAATATTACAAATTGTAAAATATTATATATTTTCTTTAAAAATTAAATTCATAATAATTATATAATTTTTTACAAAATTAAAAATATAAAAAATGTTTAATGAAAGGGTAAAAAAAATTTTTAACCCTGAACTTCATATAAAATTTTAATTATAGATTTTTTTTTTTAAATCTAAAATAATTTAAGGATAAATTTATAATTTAACCTTCGTAGAATTTTTATTATTCAATGACAGAAGAATGATATTTTTGAAAAAAAATAAAATTTTAAGGACATTTTAATCCAAAATGTCGGTAATGTTACAATACTAAAAAAAGGGAGGTAATGACATTCCCGGTAATATACCCCAAAAAATCTACTATTGATAAAACATTACCGGAATAAGATTCCCGGCCAACCAAACATGAGAATGTATGATTCTATCCCATGGGAATCCCACAATCCTTGAACTAAACACCCCTTAGGTGTTTGCAGCTTACATGATTGTTGGTTGTTCGAATGCGCTGGACCTCTGCTTCAGTCTCCGCCATTAAAGAACGAGCCAGTCTTAGCTCGTACTGCAGTTGATTCATCTACAATTAGAATAGTTTAATATCCTAGTTTCTGACAGAATCTAATACCGTCACACTTCTCTGGAAAAAAAAAACCGGGGAGCAAGGTGGAACGCTCACTATCAATGCTCAAAGTTCAATAACTTAAGGTGCATGGAGAAGAGTGAACAAATTGGAGTTTAAATACAAAGAAAAACTGTGTCACGAAGTGCATATCCAAAGATGTACATGAAATGCATATATTACAGCTATGTTACTCTGACTCGGCTGAGCATAAGTGTTGGATATGGATATCCATCTGATAAATTTTGTGTATTTAGAGTGTCAACCCCCATACCATGTCTGAATATGTCTCGGACATGGGTATGAGAAACATATACTTCAACAAGAAAAATGAGGGTCGGAGGCTCGGAGCAACATAGGACCGTAGGGTTTGCATGCCAAATGAACACCCAGCTTCTTAACAGGTTAAATCCTTACTCTTAAGCACTAGTCACCTATTTAAACCATGAACATGAGTATGTGTTCAAACAAGATAGAACAGTATGGAAAAGGGCAAAAGGTGCATAGGTGAACAACAGATGATATGCGAGCATGAAAAGTTTAATCGTTCCAAAGAAATCTCTGCATCGGTAAGGCGAATCAGCAAATTTTCATATTTCCGATATTAACCAGTGTACCTCAGCTGAAACTGTTTGCAATTCTTGATCACGTGCTGCTAATAGATGGGTAAGATCGACCTGGAAAAGCAGTCGAGAGTAACCAACCATTATTTTGACCATTTCTTGCAAAGTTATCCCAGAATTCATATGTAAAGATAGATAATAACCTGAGGTGTGGTTCCATCATTAGATCCTTCATATTTGCTTAAGCACTCTTGCAATCGGAGAACCTGCAGATAAAGATATATTGTTTGTATTACAGTATTCTGCTACGCTACTGCAAAATGAATTAGAAAAACAACTATCATGAAATATAAGTATAAGATGATCCAAGTACCTCCTCACTCAGAAAATGAAGGCTTTCAAGCTGATAATGCAGTAAAGCCATTTGCTGGTCAGAGAGTCGACCGCCATCGTGATACCTGGAACACCAATCAGAAACAAACATGGCATATAAACACCATTATGTATAACAACAGTAATGATTCATAATTTCTTATTAATCTTTTTCTTTGATTTCATGACAAATGAATCTCCGGCAACTATAATCAGGATATCTAGAAACCAGAAAAGCTCCCAATATGGCAATACTAAACTAATCTACCTAAATTAAAGATTGAAAGAAAGGATTTCTTGATTCTTATCAATGACAATAGGGAAAAAGACAGAAATATTTACCATATCCAATCTTCTCCAATTTTGACGCAGCAGTTGTAAAAGCTTTTGATATATAATAGAGAGCAATATTTCAACAGCAGAAAGCAGATTTAGAGCCATTCTAAAATGTGTGTGAGAGAGAGAGAGAGTAGTAGAGAGAGTAAAGGCGAATAGCAAGTTATTTTCCGATGAGATTTGGACGGTGTTTGTGGATAATCTTCGGAGAGTTTCACGACGTGTGTTAAGGGAAATGTTCTTAGTTCATGGTCCTATTCAGAGAGTCTTCATCCCCAAAGAAACAAGAAATCCAAAATACAGATTCTCCACTTTTGCTTTTGTGCAGTTTGGGAATGAGACTGGTTTGAAAAGGGCAATAGATAATCTAAATGGTTCAGTCATAGATGGGAGAAGGATTACGGTTGGAACTGTAAGATACAAGGAATCCCGTTCATGGAAAGAGCATAATAATAGTTCTTTCAAGAAGGCTTCACGTCCGATTACTGTTGAAACATCTAACTCAAAAGAGTCAGATGGTATTAATAGAAGTTTGAGGAATGGCAGAACGTATAAAGATGCTCTGATGTCGAACAGGATGTCGAGAAGTGTTCTGGGGTTCAAGGAATTTTCAGCTGAAGGTCATCACAGGGGGAAAGACAAGAAAAACTTATTGGAAGTTCACATTCCATCTGAAAGCTCGAGCTGGGTTAAAAGATCATTGACGGGGATTATCAAGCATTCATTTGAGATAGAATTAGTTTCAAGAGGCTCTAGTCAATGAAGTTATGAAGTCCAGATTGCTAGATGGGGATATGTCTGGAACTCTTGTGTGAACAAGGAGATGGGGAAGGGTGGTAGATATTCCTGAGCAGATTACTATTGGATCTTATGGAAGATCCTTCAAAGTCAGCATTAAGATTGGTTCGGCGAATGAGCATTCAAATCTATTTTCCAGTAACTTTCCGGTGGTCAGTTCCGATGAGGGACAGTTTGGAGCGTTTATGTCTGAGAAGGAAGAAGACATGGAGTGGTTAGAAAAGGAGGAAGATTCAGCAAGATCTGCAGAAGAAAATCGCCAGAGGGTTGACAGTTGGATTGAACAGGGTGCTGCTCTCAAGTTTGATGGAGCTGCTGGGGTAGATCAGTTTCAATGATTTGACAAAGTTGGGAAATGCATTAAAAGAGGGATGTCAGAATTGCAGAAAGGTGGGAGTATCAAAGTAGGTGAGTTTGCAGGTTTGGGGTTTAGAAATTCAAAAATTTCGTCTGCCGGATCTCAAGCCCAATCAGAGGATGATGGGTTTTCTGGACCAAATGTATCGAAGATAATTCCTGCTGGTCCAATAATTAAAATTGATAAGTTTGGGAAAATGATTCAGGATCAGAATTTGGTTGAGTCAGGAAATTACAGTAAAGAAGAGGGGAAGAGGACAGTTTCAGAGAATGTTGAACAGGCTGGTTTAGGAGTTCAGGAATCACAGTTAATGTTGCTAGAGCCAAGTATTAATATTTCTGGAAGTAAATCAAGGGGTACTTTTTTATGTAGGTCTAATAGATCGTTAAGTATTAAAAGTGTACCGTTAAAGAAAAGAAAAATGAGAAGTTATAAAAGGGTTTACAAAAGGTCTAGGGACAGAAAATACTGGCATGGGAGTGTCTTGGATTTTATGTCTAATAAAGAGGATGACTTATCCGTCAGGGAAGGGAAAGATTTGAATTCGAGAGCTATTGAACAGGTTAGCTTGTCAGTAGATTTAGAGTTTCATGGTTGTGACGATTCTACTGCTGGAAGAAGTTCGGGTGATAAGAGTATGGAAAGGGAGGTTGAAGGATTGCTTTCAGTGGGAGGAAGACCAAGTTCCAATTATGGATTTTCTAATAGAAGAGCTAAAAGACTTTTGTTAAGGGAAGCTGTAGAAAGAGTGAGCATTTTAACAGCTTCCTCTTCAGCCTTTTCAAATTTAGTGGAAGAAACACTAGCTACTTGGGAAATAAGTAAGCTGTTGGAGATTTCTTTTAAGCAAGGACAACAAGCCTTTTTTAATAAGATCATTAGCTTAGAGAAAGATTTGAGAATGGACAATCAAGGTGATCTTGATGAAGTTAAAGTTATCCATTGTTACATGGAATGTTAGAGGCTTGGGTAGAAAAGAGAAGCAAAGGGTTGTTAAGAGGTTAGTTTCTAAATACCATCCTCATTTTCTTTGGCTGCAGGAAACAAAATTGGAGAAGATTCAGAGATCTTTTCTTAGAAGAAACGGGTTAAATAATTTACAAGGGATTATTGAGTCTCCATCGGTTGGTTCATCAGGGAGATTACTGAGTTGCTGTGATGATAACATTTTTGAGTTGGAAAATCAGTTCTTAAACAGAAGATTTATAGCTATATCAGGGAGGTTTTGCGCCAATAATTTCAGATGTAGATTCATTAATGTGTATGGTCCTTCTGTTGAGGAGGAGAAATGAAGCTTTTTTGAAGAGTTAAGCATGTTCATAGGAGGTAACAGTGAACCTATTTGGTAGAGCTCAGAACAGGAATTCAATTAGGATTTTCAACCAATTTCTTCTATATACAGGTTTAATTGATTCGCACTTGAATGGAGGTAGGTTTACTTGGTGTAACAACCAAGATTCTCTTACTTATGTAAGACTAGACAGATTTTTGGTTGATAGCCAATTCATGACTGGTTTTCCAGATTTAGTCCAATCATTACTGCCAAGTTCTGTGTCAGACGTGAAAATGGAGGTGTTAATTGGGGGAAAACCTTTTAAACTGTTTAATTATCTGATAGATGAAGTCGGATTCGAAGATTTGGTCAGCTCTTCAATTCAATAATGTAAGAAATATCAGAGGAATGTTGGAAATTATAGTATGCTGAAAAAAACCAAATCAACCATAAAAAATTGGGCAGGGAAGAGAGATAAATTTCCAGGAGCTTTGATTTCAGAATTAGAATTGAAGATTCAAAAGTTAGAAGTGGATGTTCAACAGTTGCAAGATGGTTCCAATGGTGAGAAAGCAGTTGAGTTGAAGGAGTTAAGAACAGAATTGTGGAGGCTGTACAAGATAGAGGAGCAGATTTGGTTCCATAATTCAAGATAAAGTGGGTTGAAGATGGGGACAGAAACACCAGATTCTTTCATACTTATGCTTCAGTTAGGAGAAAGAGAAATGCTTTGAATGCTCTTTATATCAGGGGTAATGTTATTCAAGATCCGAATGTTATCAAGGCCACTGTCAGAGATTACTTTTTTAAGGCTTTTAATGACCAGTCAACCTTAGAAGCGGAAGATATTGGGCTGAATTTTTCTAGTATTTCATTGGAACAAAATTTTATTTTGGAGAAAAGAACTTACAAAGGAGGAGATATGGGATACTTTAAAATCTTGTAATAGCAATAAAGCTCCGGGGCCAGATGGTTTAAATTTGGGCTTTTTCAAAAGATTTTGGCATGTACTTAAGGGAGAGATTATGAAGTTTTTTCACAACTTCTACTTGGGGAAAGATTTGGAACATGGCATAAATCATACATTTATTACTCTCATTCCAAAGGGCTCAAACATTGGTGACCTAGATAACTATAGACCTATCAGCTTAGTTGGTGGATTATATAAGGTCCTCTCTAAGTGTCTTTCTAGGAGGTTAAGGAGCTGTATTTCAGATATAATTAGTCCTACACAATTTGATTTCATCCCAGGTCGACAAATTTTGGATTGTTCTCTAATTGCTAATGAAAGAGTTGATTTTTGGAGAAAAAATGGACTTAAGGATTGTGTTTTCAAGGCTGATTTCAAGAAAGCATATGATTCGGTTGATTGGGGTACTTTATTTCTAGTAATGGAGAAAATGGGATTTGGTGTCAGGTGGAGAGGTTGGACCAGAAAATGTGTAACCACAGCTTCAGTTTCAATTTTAGTTAATGGAGTGCCTTCTGAAGAATTTCCAATGGCCAAGGGACTAAGACAGGGATGTTCTTTATCCCCTTTGTTGTTTAATTTTATAGACGAACTTCTCAACTTACTGATTCTAAAGGTTGTTGCACAGGGACTGTTTTCTGGACTGGTTATTGGCAGGGAAGAGGGGTCTTTCAATTTATCACATCTACAGTTTGCGGATGATCTCATGGTCTTTTGCGGTGCTTCGAAAATGCAGATTCTAAATGTGAAGAGGGTGCTTCGTATGTTTCAAGTGATTTCTGGTTTATAGCTAAACATAAAGAAAAGAAAATTGTTTGGTGTTAATTTAAATGAAGAGGAAGTTCAGGAGTGGGCAAACATTATCGGATGTTCAGTAGGCAGATTTCCTTCTGATTATCTAGGGCTTCCTTAGGGGGCTACTAGGAATTCTGCAGCTCTTTGTAATCCAGTGGTTAATAATTTCTCCAACAAATTAGCTGGTTGGAAAGCTTCTTCTCTTTCATTAGCAGGAAGATTGGTATTGATTAAGTCGGTTCTATGTTCGCTTCCAACATATTACCTAGTATTGTTTAAGATACCATCTTCGGTTCTTAAAAACCTCAACTCTATTATGTCCAATTTCTTATGGGGAGGGAGAAATGGAAAAATTAAGATTCATTGGGTTAGTTGGCATAATGTGTGCAAATCAAAGATTGATGGGGTCTAGGTGTTCTGAATCTTAATTTGATGAATCGAGCACTTTTAGAAAAATGGTCTTGGAGGTTTACCAATGAAAGGGAGGTTGTTTGGGGAATTTATTTGTTCTAAATACAAACTGGATTCATCTTTTTTAATGTTGGACAGTAAGATCCCACAGAAAGTATCTTGGATTTGGAGATACGTGGTAATGAATCACTTCAAAGAGGACATTGTTGGCTCCAAGTTTAGAAGTAATGTATACTTTCCTAGTTGGAGATGACAATTTTATTCGGTTCTGGCAGGAAATTTGGGCTTTGGATTATCCTCTTTTGCTCATTTTTCCTAGACTGTTTTCTGTGTCTACAAACAAGATGGGCAAATTATTCGAATTTGGGGAGTATAGCTCTGAAGGATGGATTTGGGATGTGCAGTTTCGAAGGAAATTAAATGACTGGGAATTAGAGCAGTGGTATAATTTGATGGCTGTTATTTCGACTTTTTCTCTATCTATGGAAACTTCTGATGATTTGGAAAGGTACTGGGATGGGGTGTACACTGTAAAATCTGGTGTTAATCTCTGTTTATCAGATTCTTTAGGATCGGAAGAGGTCCATTTTTGGAAGAAGATTATTTGGAGGGGTCAGCTACCGCCAAGAGTGGAGTCATTTATGTGGCAGGTTGTTTTAGGGAAGCTGGATGTTAAGACAGAACTTGTTAAAAGAGGAATTCAAGGAATTGAAGATGTGTTATGTCCTCTTTGCAAGATGGAGGATGAGTCTCCCTCGCATTTGTTTTTCTCTTGTTCGGTGGTGTGGTCTATTTGGAACAAATTTATGAATTTTTGGAGGATTAAGTCTGCCTTTCATGCTAATGCTAAAAGTTTTCTTCTAGCTTGGGATGCTTTGAAGACTAACTCACCGATATGGTCTTTTATTCCAGAGGTCGTTCTTTGGACAACTTGGAAAATTAGGAATCTTATTGTGTTTGAAGGGGGAAGTTAGATATGGCAGAATATTTCTTCTTAGCAAGGTTTAGGCTTGCTTCTTGGTTCCTAGCAAAGAATAAAGAGGTTTCTATTTCTAAGGACTCTCTTATTTTAGATCCTTCTTTGGGGGACTCTTGTTCTCTCCATTCTAATCAGATTGTATCTATATTTCTTTGGTCTCCTCCTCCTATTTGTAAAACTTAATGTAGATGCTGCTACTACAAGGGATTGGAAGAAAAGCGGGTTAGTAGGAGTTTTAAAGGATTCCTCAGGTTTTACCTTAGACTCTTTCAAGGAATCTGCTGGTCCAGGGCCTCCAACATTTATGGAGTTAAAAGCTATTCAAAAGGGGTTGTTGTTCTATGCTTGTTTTCGAGAGCGGATCAAGGACCGTTTGATTATTGAAAGTGATAGCAAGGTGGCAGTGGATTGGGTTAAGAAGGTTGAATTATGTCCAGATGTTTATGCTTTTATTATTAAAGACATTGTTCATAGACTTAAAGTATTGGAAGGTGTTGTTATATGGGTAAATAGGACAACCAATTTAGAGGTTGATGCCTTAGCTAAAGAAGGAATAGGCTGAATTAGTGTTGTTGTTTATGGTTATTTTCTGTTTCTCTATTTCTGTTTGGGGTGTTTTCGAGGCTGTATCTTATATAATTTCTTATGTTGAATAAATTCCTAAGGCACTCTTTTCCTCCTTTCGCTGATTAAGGAGCTTCCCTACAAGCTCCATTAATCAAGAAGAGTTTTTTTAATGAGGCCTGATATTCTTATAAAAAAAAGAAAGACATGATTTCTTTCACGGTGAAATTTGAAAATTCAGATTGGATTGATAAAAGTTTTTCCGTTACCTTAAATCTTCCAAAGGACTTTGTGGTTGAAGGGGAGAATATAATGACTTCAAAACATCAGGCCGAGAATCCAATGAATTGTACTGGTGTACATAGCCTACAATAACCAAAAAAGTGCATATATATATTGGAATATAACTGAAAAAAAGAAGAAGAAAAAAACTCATATTATTGGCATGTTTTATTCAATTAAACTCTTCAAGTGGTTCTACACATGTATGTGTGAGCTTACCGATATACACACTCATAACAAAAGCAGAACATACTGCTTCAACCAACATAATAATCCTGCAAATCATGAAGGAAATTGTCAACGATATGTAGTTTTAAATGAAAGCGAGAACTTGGAATGTTACTGTACTATATTATTCAATTGCAACTTCTGAATTGACCCAACATTCCCACCAATCAATAACATCATACAGCCCCAATGATGAAATTGTAACATAAATCTAATTAGAATGAGCATCCGGAACTTGCAAACGTTTCAAGAGGCAAACATTTCAATCAATATGATAGAACACAACCAATATTTCTTTCTCCATCCCCTATAAAGGCTAAAAGGTAACTACTTGGTATAAATCCTTAAACAAGCATAAGAAATATATCTCACGCTTAAAATAAATGGAATTATTGCTGAGCCATAGATTACCTGCGTATAGCTGAGGTGGAAAGAAAACTAATATAGGGTTGCCAGACCATGACAAGCATCATTGCAGCAGTTCCTAATAAAACAATAATGAAGATATGACAAAAAAAATGACCTTTTACTATTAAATTTCATCATAATTCCTAATCGAAAAGGTTCCATGGAGATAAGCCATTATCGTTCATGCATGCGGATAAAGGAAAAGATACTCACCATAAGCAGTAATGGCAAATGGTAGACGAACAATATGCTTCAACTTCTGACTGAAACTATAATAACCCTACAAAACATAAAAACATTTAATGTCTTCTACTAAAGTTAGATGTCACTTAGGAAACCAACAGGATGAAGTAACTGGTAAAGTTACTTGTAAACGTATCTTCTGGATTTGATAAACATGATATTGCTGAAAAATGCCTGTAAAACTTGAACAAGAACTTAAACGTTAGCAGTGCACTCAAATCCTTGTTATAGTACAGCATTCCTTCTAAATCAAACCACAATATAAAGGAATATTGTATGCAAATCTATAATCTAAAGCATCCCACGGATGGTAGAGATCTGGAACATCTTTTCTTATTTTCATTCAATAAATACAAGAGAAGACCAAGCAAAGAGACCTGTGACTACTAAAAGAACAACATCGCAACTGCAAAGCAACTGTAAGACGAAACTCCCGAAACTCCCAAGAGGCTGAAATATCCAAGGAGCTGCTGCAGCCAATATTGCATAACCTGCCTTAAATTTGAAAAACAATCAGAGTTTGCCTAATTACCCATTGAAAGATTCATTGTTTGATAGAAAATAGTTATGAACTTCAACTTGCCAGTATGAAACAGTAAAAAACACCCCCAACTTTACACCTTGGTTTCCGGTGACCAAATAATAGAGCCTCATGAAGTATATCAAGGAAGCTACAATTGACTCAAATTTTGAAATTACCCATTACTCATTTGAGTAAAAATTTTGCTAAGATCAAGTTAAATTAACAAAATTTGATCCCTACAGTCAAGTACAGGGAAATGCTATTCCAAATTTTACATTAAACACGCGTAATTATTGAATAATTCTATTCGGTAAAACCCAGAAAGCGATTATTAAAGGGCATGATCGAAGGAACAAAACTTAAAATTCTTCAAGTAGCAGAATTGTCCCACAAAATGGAGGTAGCTGGTGAATGAAAAAACGATGAAAATGAAAATTTTGAAATGAAAATGGAAGTGAAGGATTGAATGCTTACATAGCATCTTCCTGAGGAGATGTAGGATTAGAATAAGCGATCCTCTGATTAGACATCTTCCACCACTTCTCTGGAAAAAGGCTTCAACTTTTTTCAAATTACCCAGTTTTCAGGGAAAGAAAGCTGGATTGATACATTGTTCCCCCCCCCCCTTTCTTTCTCTTTGGGATGGGGTCAAGGTTCAGTGCTGCAACAAACGTTCTTTGCTTATTCTAGGAACTAAAATACACCTTATAAATGGGTTATTTTTCAAAGTTATACTTTAATAATTTAAATAAAATATTATTATAAATATATTATTTTATCTAAAACAAAATTAATATAATAATTATTATTATATTTAAAAAGTTATATATTATATCAATTTGATAGTAGTTTCAAATGATTTAATAAATTTAACATCTTATATTTAAAATTTCAATTATTTTGATATTTTTTATAATACAATCAAATTAAGTGAGTCTATCAAATCAAAGTAATAATTAAATAGTTATGTTCTATCATAAAACAACAATAAATTATTGATAATTATTATTATATTAGAAAATTAATATAATACTTCTAGAAAAACAAATAATTTAAGAGACGAATAAACACTTAATTGATAGAAATTTTTAAATATAAAAAGTTAAATTTATTGAATCATTCTAAATTATAACGAAATTGATATAATGTATAAGTTTTAAATATTAAAATTATTATTTATACTATACCTTGTTACTATTTTATTTTGTTTATAATAATATTTTAATTGTTTGATTAAATTATAACTTTTAAAAGAAATATGATTCATTTATAATTAAACTAATAATTGAGTGATGTAGAGCCTTTCAATGAAAATGTCAAATGGAAATGGCATCCTACAGGCCCAATAGCTATAGCCTTATATTGCTGGTTAAGCATGGACTAAAGCAAGCCTCAATGGGTCTTTATTTATAAGATAAAATGCCTAAGCCTTTAAACCCTAGTCTTGTTTTCTATTTTGGATAGTCGATAGTCTATCTTGACAAGGCAGTGAAGTGAGCCAGCAAAAACAAAAGCCCTAGTACTTCCTTTTATTGCTATTGCAGGCATTACATATTTTCTACATTTCTCATCGAAATATCCCTTTTCCATTAAACAGCTCTAACATCTTTCGTCTTCCCAATGAGCAGTGATCACCCAATGATCCTTTTTAGTGAGTGAATGCTTGAGATTCATAATGGGTTTAAGCTCTTCTCTGGGTTTATATCATACCAGTCAGTTAGTTTGAGCTGCGGATCATTTTGTCATGGTACCATACTTGTATTTCTCGTTATCGTCATGAAGATTTTGAGTTTTCAATGAAAAACCCACCTTTGAGCCTGAGGTGTCCAATAGAAAATCCAGTCATTTTCAAGTAGAGAAATTTGGGTATTTAATTAAAGCTAGTTATGTCGTGGGTTTACAATCTTACAGATGACCCTTTTTTCATCGGCAAATCGTCTCTCAAGGGTTCGAGCAGCCTCCAAGGCCTTCATTCCGCGGTGTCGCATCCAATTTCACGGCTTGTCTCATCCGCAAGGTGATAAAGGGGCAAAGGCAATCCAAAAGCAAGAGTCTTGGTTTGTTAAGGTTGTATGCACTCTCTTTGTTTACTCACAACCGTTGGATGATTCCTGCTGGGGTTACTTGAGCAAGAATTTGACGCCTTCGACTGAATTCAAAGTTGTTAAGTGGTTAAAAAATCCAGCTTTCGGATTGAAGTTTTTCGAGTTAAGTAGGGAGAATCTTGATATTACTCATTCTTTTTGGACTTATAACTTGCTTATTAGGTCATTATGCCATATGATTTTACATGGTTCTGCTAAGTTAGTTTTTGATTATATGAAGATTGATGGGCATTTGCCTGATACTACTTTGCTAGGGTTTATGATTTCAGCTTTTGGGAGGGCTGGTGAGTTTGATATGTCAAGGAAATTGCTTGCTGAGGTTCAGTCTGATGATGTAATTGTCACCGTTTACGCAATGAACAACCTGTTGAATATGATGGTTAAGCAAAATAAACTAGAAGAGGCAGCTAGGTTATATAAAGAGAATGTAGAATCAAACTTCAACCCGGATACTTGGACGTTCAATATTCTAATTCGAGGCCTTTGCAGAGTTGGGAAAGTGAATCAGGCTTTTGAGTTTTTTAATGATATGAAGAGCTTTGGTATTTTTCCTGATATTGTTTCATATAACACCATTATAAATGGGTTATGTAGGGCAAATGAGATAGACAGAGGCCGTAGTTTATTGAATGAAATTCGTTTGAGAGATGATTGTTCCCCGAATGTTGTGACTTACACATCGGTCATATCTGGTTATTGCAAGTTGGGCAAGATGAAGGAGGCATCTGCTCTTTTCAGTGAGATGATAAATTCCGGAACTGTGCCTAGTGTTGTTACTTTTAATGTTTTAATTGATGGCTTTGGAAGAGTTGGTGATATGCTTTCCGCTAAATCAATGTATGAGAAGATGGCTTCTTTTGGTTGTAGTGTTGATGTTGTTACATTCACTTCCTTGATTAACGGGTATTGTCTGATCGGAGATGTAAATCAGAGTTTGCAGCTTTGGAATGCAATGAAAGTGAGGAATATATCTCCAAATGTTTATACCTTTGCGATTACTATTAATGCTCTATGCAAGCAAAATAGAATACACGAGGCTCGTGGACTTTTGAGGGAGTTGCAATGTAGGAATATTGTTCCGAAACCATTTATCTTCAACCCTGTGATTGATGGGTTCTGCAAGGCCGGGAATTTGGATGAGGCCAACCGGATAGTAGCAGATATGGAGAAGAAATGTGAACCTGATAAAGTGACATTTACTATTCTCATTATTGGTCATTGTATGAAAGGAAGAATGCTTGATGCAATTAGCATTTTCGATAAAATGTTATCATTTGGTTGTGCCCCAGATGGTGTTACTGTACATTCTTTGATATCTTGCCTTTTTAAAGCTGGGATGCCTAATGAAGCCTTCCGTATTTCTACAATAGCATCATGGGACATGAAGTTGACTGGTTCAACTTCCATGGATAACAATGCTCATTTGAGGATAAATAGAGATGTGTCTGTTGCTGCTTAAGATAAAAGCTTCCCTGATCATCGAACTTGGTTTCATCACCGAATATCAAGTATTCAATCAAGCATCTCGAGTCTGAAGCACAATCCAAGTTGCATTCGGTAAGTGAAGTCCTTGTGTTCTTCAGATCATAAACTGCAATTATGCCTATTATTACCAATCAACTGTTTAAGCTGGATCTTTATGAAATTGCAACTCTACAAAGTTGGCCTTTATATTTTTTCTCCATCCGGCGAGTCCCTTTGTTCATTTTCCATGTATGCTAAAAGTAACACGATCAAGTTCGTCAGGGACAACATTAATTGCAGGGTAGTTCAACACTCTTCTTAGCCAGAAATCAATTTCCATTTTCCTTTTCAATCAATGCAGCACTTATAACTAGTAAATGCTACTTTAGAAAATAAAGCAGAGAGTTGGCTATTACTTGCAACCTCAGAAAGATGCAGACTTTTTTTAGTTTAGCAGCATAGTTAAAGCAGTGGTATGCATGTGTACATGGATGTATAATCTTAGAGCATCTGTTGTTAAATCTGAACTTGGTAGGGGAACAACACCAGTAAATGCTATAAAGCTTGCTTGATGCCTAATGGATCGGAAAGGACCACAGAGGTTAGCTATTTATCCTCACAGTTTGGTATCTGTTGTTCCATGTCCGGTAAAATCTCGAACATTGTAATGTAAAAAAGTAAGCAATTCCATGTTTAGGGTCAGGAAAAGGGGAACAGGTAGATCAATTTTGTGTTTTAGATTTCATTCTTCGTTCTTTGGGGCAATTCGAAATTCTTTTCAGCATCTTGGATGATACCTGCTACATGCAACATTCAATATGGTATCTTGTATAAAATTAGGCAGTATGCCATCACTCGTGCAATCCCGATATTCCGATATCGACAGCATTAAAAGAGTGACAATCCGATAATCCTTGTATAGGTGCTATTGAAAGAACAGGCAAGTTGAATGATCTTTGAGGGAATAATAAAACCACATAACTTGATGAAAATTTTGTTACACAACAAGCATGTCAAATATGAGATCTACATTGTCTTTGGTGTATACAACTGATTTGCATCTTATAAATGCCTTTATAATTATTGAGTATTAAGTCAAGCACCTTCAACTAAAGACCATGGCATTGATCCTTCACATTCTTGGACCATAATTTAAACACTAAGCAATGACATAATCAAGACAGTTGCTCAATCAGATCAAGCAACAATAGGGTATGATGCACATGTTTTACACCTGCAACAACCAAATTCAAGATATAAGCATAAAGGGAATGCCAGTGACTTGGTATGTTGGATTTTTTTTAAAAAAAAGTATGAATTTGGAGTCTTTAGAGGATCATAATCTCTTAGCCGTATCTTTTGAATACGTATTGAACACAAAATAAAAGTGTGAAATCCAACTGAGGATGAGACTTACCACACATGTTTTCCCCCATCTCCATCTTGAAGTAGCCATTTTCACCCTAATCGGCTCCACATGAGTTCTTGATGAGCCAATATGGAACACCGTTCTCAACTCCATAACCTACCGCGAGAACAGCGTTGTTCACATCCTGCAATATAAAAAAGGCAGGAGTTTTGGATTAGGCACAAGATGCATTTGACATATATCTATATTTGACGGACAAGAAAAACCTTACCTGTGAAGTTCTACCACATGTTTCATCGGATAAAACCCCACTTTTGTAAAGCCGGAAACTAGAGATTACTTGATAGGCCACGCTAACTAGCCGAACCAAGGCGACTGCATGCTTTAGTTCGTCTTCAGCACCCTATGTTCCTTTATCCGAAAGATGAAACATTTAAATCCACAAGGCATTCGTTTTCAGCTTTATGCCAGAAAAGCAATGCCGTGAACTTACCATGATAATGTTGACAGAGCCAGCGACTTTAACGCCCACATTTTCGGATGAGAATTTGCATACACCATCTTTTCCAGTGTAGGGGTAAGATTCCTCGGTATCAAGGCCGCCGTTATATTTGATGTATTCAAAGGCTTGAGAAGGCAACCCACCATGGCAACCTTTGTTATTAAAGGCTCCAGCACAGTCCACAAGCTGCTGCTCAGATAAAGAGATTCCTTTCCCAAATGCCTGATGGTAAGCTGCCTCCAAAGCCCCAGTGGTACTGCAATATCCAAATGCATAAAGGTCACAGCTTAAAACGTTTACAAGCTAAACATTTTTATTAAGATACCCGAATCCGACATTTGTGTTTAACACAAATGTGAATATAAATACGAGAGCTAACCTGAATGTCCAGCAAGATCCACAGTGGACTTGTTCTTTGACAGCGCTGACAATTCCTGCTTCCCTCCAATCTTTCTGCATGTATTATTCGATTATTGTGCATATGTTATCCACTTATCGCAACACTAGCATCCAACATTCAAACGGTATCAAATAATATATCATCGTATAAGATTCTTTATGCTCGTATATGTACCGATTCAGGAAGGACGACATCAGTGAGTTGGTGATTGCCCTTAGAGTAGCGGAGCAATTTTGAGCTGCTCCGAGCTTGTATTTTTGAAATTCTTCCCAGCTCCAATCAGCAAACTCTGCATCGTTCACTCAAACAAATGATAAGCTCATGATAAAATACAAACAAAACATCATGAGTTCACAGTTTCATCGGAGCCAAAGTAAGTTCAGGCTACCGTTGACATGTAACCAAACATACTGGAACTCAACTGAGCTAAATCAGCTTCGTGCCGGAATCAGACAAGTCCGATTCATCTACAGGTAGTGGATATTCTCTGAAATAATCCTTCAACTTAAGAAAAAGAACTTACGATTAACACCAAGAGTATAAGACAATCCCTTTTAGTTAGTGGATCGGATTAAATCCAAATTCTCTTTGAAAATCTGAAACCGAAGCTTCATCTCCTCCACGCTCTCGTATTGTTAAAAGTTTCAAAGTTTGGCAACCAACTTTGGAAAATGTTTTTTCAAAGTTTGGTAAATGTTTCTTTGAAAAATGTTTTTCAAAGTTTGGTAAAATTTTGGTAGATGTTTGTTGAAAATAGGAATGGGTAAATTCACTTTAGTCATTGCACTTTAGGGTATTTTCAAAGATTAGTCCCTAAGTTTCTACTATAAATACCCTTACCCATTTAGCTTCAAAATCATCCCAAAACATTTCTTTCTTCCTATACTAGAGAGCTTTCTTGTGAGTAGTGAGTGTTTTGTAAACACCTGTAAATTTTCTCTCTTAGTAAAAGATCTGCAGCAGCCCGGAGACGTAAGCACAATTGGCTGAACTCCGTTATCAATTTTCGGGTATTATTTTTCCGCTTTTATTTCACATTCTCACTAATCTGGTTATAGGGAAATTACTTGTACTCGGTTTATTTTCCTAACAACTGGTAATCAGAGCTTTTGGTTGTGAATTTTGTCAAATTTTCTGCGAGGTTACTATTCATTACTATTCACGTGAATAGTGAATTTCGTGAATAGTGAAATTCGGTCGGCGATACGAGTTTGTCGACGGTGGTGTTCTAATACACGGTGATTCGCAAGAATTGTCAGAAACGATCCAAACGAAGCCAGATTCGAGTGGGAGCGATGGCTGCAGACGAAGGGAATGTGAAAATTGAAAAGTTCGATGGTGCGGACTTTGGCTTTTGGAAGATGCAAATTGAAGATTTTTTGTACCAGAAAAATCTATATCAACCTCTCTCAGGAAAGCAACCAGAGGGCATGAAGGATGAAGATTGGGCTCTTCTCGACAGACAAGCCCTCGGAGTTATCCGACTGACGTTATCCCGCAATGTTGCTTTTAACATAGCAAAGGAAAAGACCACGGCGGGTCTTATGGCGGCTCTCTCCAGTATGTACGAGAAACCATCGGCCTCAAACAAAGTTCATTTGATGAGGCGATTATTCAATTTGCGGATGGCGGAAGGGGCATCGGTGGCACAACACCTAAATGAACTCAACACAATCACAACCCAGTTGAGTTCAGTGGAAATTGAGTTCGATGATGAAGTTCGAGCTTTAATTCTCTTATCATCTCTACCAGACAGTTGGAATGCTACTGTTACAGCAGTCAGCAGTTCGTCGGGAAACAGCAAATTAAAATTCGACGATGTTCGGGATCTGGTATTGAGTGAAGAAATTCGACGAAGAGAATCGGGTGAAGCATCAACCTCCTCAGCCTTACACACGGAGTCTAGAGGGAGAACTTCAGAAAGAAATTCAAATCGTGGCAGATCAAAATCTAGAAGGGGCAAATCAAGAACAGGAAATAAAGATTTTACCTGTTATAATTGCGGCAAAAAGGGTCACTTCAAAAGAGATTACCGAGCACCGAAGAAAAATACCGGCGCACAGGAATCTGCCAACATGACGGAGGAGACAGGTGATGCCATGATTTTAAGCGTCAACAGTCCGATTGAATCATGGATCTTGGATTCAGGGGCATCTTTCCACTCCACCCCATGCCGAGAAATCATGGAGAACTATGTCAGTGGTGATTTTGGGAAGGTTCATCTAGCTGATGATGAAACCTTGAAGATCGTCGGAAAAGGAGACATCCGACTAAAGCTGCCAAACCAGACCACCTGGAAGCTGACAGGAGTGAGACATATTCCTGGCCTCAAAAGAAATCTGATTTCTATTGGACAGCTTGATGGAGAAGGATATAGCACAACCTTTTCAGGCTGTGAATGGAAGATTACCAAAGGAGCACTCGTCATTGCTCGTGGTAAGAAGACTGGTACTCTCTATGTAACCTCAAATTTAGAGAATATCATTGCAGTAGCAGATGCTGATGGAAAATCAAACATATGGCACCAAAGGCTCGGCCATATGAGCAAGAAAGGAATGAAGATACTTCTGTCAAAAGGGAAGCTGCCGGATCTAAAGAATGTAGATGTCGGACTATGCGAGGATTGCATCTTTGGAAAACAAAAGAAAGTCAGTTTTACAAAGATTGGCAAGACTCCCAAGGCAGAAAGGTTAGAATTGGTTCATACTGATGTATGGGGACCATCCCCTGTTCCATCTCTTGCAGGCTCACTATATTATGTCACCTTCATCGATGATTCAACAAGGAAGGTGTGGGTTTATTTTCTGAAGAAGAAATCAGAAGTCTTTGGTACCTTCAGAAAATGGAAGGCCATGGTGGAAAATGAGACTGGTTTGAAAGTCAAGCGGTTGAGGTCTGACAATGGAGGAGAGTACAGAGACAGTAGTTTCAGAGATTTCTGCGCAAACAATGGGATCAAGATGGAGACAACAGTTCCCATAACACCGCAGCAGAATGGCGTAGCAGAGCGCATGAACAGAACTCTGAATGAACGTGCCAGAAGCATGAGGATACATGCCGGATTGCCCAAATTTCTATGGGCTGAAGCTATCAACACTGCAACTTACCTGATCAACCGTGGGCCCTCAGTTCCTTTGGATGGCGGAATACCAGAGGAAGCTTGGAGCAAGAAAGAAATAAACCTTTCACACTTAAGAGTGTTTGGTTGTATTTCTTATGTACACATAAACTCTGCTGAAAGAAGTAAACTTGATGCCAAGTCCAACAAATGCGTCTTTGTTGGTTACGGTGGTGATGAGTTCGGTTACCGGTTTTGGGACTACGAAAATCGAAAGATCATCAGAAGCAGAGACGTCATTTTCAATGAAAATGTGATGTACAAAGATAGGTCAACCGCAGAATCAAGTAATACCGAAGCTGAAACAAAGGAATTTGCTGAGTTCGAGGATATTTCTGGAAATGATGTTCAGATCAATCCTGAAGCAGTTCAAGAAGAACCACACACACCAGAACTGAGACGCTCCTCCAGAATTCCTAAACCAACCCAACGGTATTCGCCTTCTTTACACTACTTGTTGCTGACTGACAATGGTGAACCAGAGTGCTATGATGAAGCAATGCAAGTGGAGGATTCAGTCAAGTGGGAGTTTTCCATGAAAGATGAGATGGACTCACTTATGTCAAATCAGACATGGGAATTAGCTGAATTACCACCAGGCAAGAAAGCGCTCCACAACAAGTGGATTTACAGGATCAAAGAAGAGCACGATGGGAGCAAACGCTACAAAGCAAGATTGGTCGTCAAAGGCTTTCAGCAAAAAGAAGGTATTGACTACAATGAAATTTTCTCTCCAGTCATAAAATTGTCTACAATCAGACTGGTGTTAAAAATTGTAGCTGCAGAGAATTTACATCTTGAGCAGTTAGATGTAAAGACAGCTTTCCTTCATGGTGATTTGGAGGAAGAAATATATATGAGGCAGCCAGAAGGCTTCATAGAGGCAGACAAGAAAAACCTGGTATGCAGGTTGAAGAAGAGCTTGTATGGTTTAAAACAAGCTCCTAGACAGTGGTACAAGAAGCTCGATAGCTTCATGAGTAGCAGTGGTTTTATCAGATGCCAAGCAGATCATTGTTGCTACATCAAGAGGTTCGACAACAGCTTCATTATTTTATTATTGTACGTTGATGACATGCTCGTTGCAGGCTCAGACATGCAAGAGATTATACACTTGAAGCAAAAATTGTCGAAGCAGTTTGCTATGAAAGATCTGGGCGCTGCAAAGCAGATTCTTGGGATGAGGATCAAGAGAGACACAAAGTCGGGGACTTTGATGTTATCACAGGCTGAGTACATCAACAAAGTACTCTCCAGGTTCAACATGCAAGATGCTAAACCAGTAAGTACACCTTTAGGTGTTCATTTCAAACTCTCCAAAGACCAATCACCAAAGACGGAGGAAGAACGTGCACACATGGTGAAGGTGTCGTATGCCTCAGCAATTGGAAGTCTGATGTATGCCATGGTTTGTACCAGACCAGATATTGCTCATGCAGTGGGAGTTGTTAGCAGGTACATGAATAATCCGGGCAAGGTACACTGGGAAGCAGTCAAATGGATCCTCAGATATCTTCGGGGTACCACAAACAAAGCACTTTGTTTCAAAGGTGGAGATATGATACTGACAGGCTATGTAGATGCTGACTTAGCCGGAAATGTCGACATCAGAAGGAGCACTACAGGGTATGTCTATACTCTAGGAGGAACTGCAGTGAGTTGGGTTTCTCAACTACAGAAGATAGTTGCTCTCTCCACAACTGAAGCAGAATATGTCGCTGTTACGGAAGCCAGCAAGGAGATGGTTTGGCTCCAAAGTTTCTTGGAAGAGTTAGGCAAGAAACAAGAAAACAATATCTTGTATTGCGACAGTCAAAGTGCTATCCATCTAGCAAAGAATCCGTATTTTCATTCCAGGACAAAGCACATACAATTGAGATATCATTTTATCCGGTCTCTTCTGGAAGATGGGATTTTGAAACTTGAAAAGATTAGTGGAGCTCAAAATCCGGCAGACATGTTGACAAAGACGGTGACTACGGACAAACTGAAGTTGTGTTCAGCTTCAGTTGGCATGCTAGAATAACAAGACCAGACATGCTGCTGCATTGATCGAGGTGTGAAGACATTAAAATCAGTCTTCAAGTGGGAGATTGTTAAAAGTTTCAAAGTTTGGCAACCAACTTTGGAAAATGTTTTTTCAAAGTTTGGTAAATGTTTCTTTGAAAAATGTTTTTCAAAGTTTGGTAAAATTTTGGTAGATGTTTGTTGAAAATAGGAATGGGTAAATTCACTTTAGTCATTGCACTTTAGGGTATTTTCAAAGATTAGTCCCTAAGTTTCTACTATAAATACCCTTACCCATTTAGCTTCAAAATCATCCCAAAACATTTCTTTCTTCCTATACTAGAGAGCTTTCTTGTGAGTAGTGAGTGTTTTGTAAACACCTGTAAATTTTCTCTCTTAGTAAAAGATCTGTAGCAGCCCGGAGACGTAAGCACAATTGGCTGAACTCCGTTATCAATTTTCGGGTATTATTTTTCCGCTTTTATTTCGCATTCTCACTAATTTGGTTATAGGAAAATTACTTGTACTCGGTTTATTTTCCTAACAACTTCCTCCCATGCCTAAACCAATTTTTTTTAAAAAAAAAAAAAACTCAAATTTTCATCCACAATTTCAATTTTTCTCGATCGTTTCTCCTTTTTATAGTGCTAAACCAACGAACCAAGATAAAAGGTGCGAATTTCGGATGAGTAAATGAAAGCTTACTTGTAAGCAAAGCGCGCGAAGGAGATAACATGACGAGTATGACCGATGACACTAAGAATAGAGGACTCGAAGCCACGGAGACCGTCGGATACCATCTGAATAGGGTTGGAGCCGTCGAAAGTTGATGCTGCGGCAATGCAGCATAGCATAAGGATGATGGAGAATACCAACGTTAATCGAGCCATGACTGTGCTTTTTTTTTTGAGAGCTCTCTGTTCAGTGGATGTAGAAATTTAAAGGGAGAGGCAGCGGGTTGGATATATCAATAAATTAATACCTCCAATTATGAAAATTAGGAAACTTTTAAGAATTTATGGAGATTTCAGTTATAATTTATTAGACCATAAAAATGGTAATTTTAACCAAATAATACCATATCAGAAAATTATCTACCAAATTTCACCTAATGGCATAATGTGAAATTTTATTATTAATGTTTATCTAGATAGTATACCATATCATAACTTTATCACATGTGAATATCATGTTGACATATAGTATTGAATCAATTAATAATTATTTTATTTTAATGAAATTTAAAATAAATTAACAATAAAGTATTAACATAATAAAAATACAATACTACAACGAATTTGGCATATACAATAAAGAATAAAAAAGAATTTTACATTCCTTTAAAATATCGTCATCATCGTCATTTTGATCAAAATGTTTTCTAACATTATCGATATCAATGCGTACTAATCGAACAAATTTATTCATTGGGGTGTCTTTGAAACACTCCAACGGTACGATGTTGGATGGCTTGTGGAGAATAAAGATTATAGAGTTGTCTCATCAACAATCTCACTATTAAATAGGGCCAACGAAAATCTGAAGAATGACAGCGACGCTTATGATATAGTTGATTGAAATGACGGCGGTGTATATACAGTAAACGTCGGATCTAATAATATTACGTCGGACTTAGAATAGGTGAAACAAAATAGGATGAATTCAATATCGATGGATTAGATAACAATGACATCGACGGCGTAAATTGTGATGGTCATGATAGTGTCAATGACGATGAGTTGGGAGTGTTTTGGAAGGGGGATAATACCATATCGGTTAGCCAGGGATTGGACCCTAGCTTTATAAAATAAGGATCATATGATATATAGCTCCAGTCGGAAAATCCTTATCAACAGTATTCAAAGACGGATGAATGCGAAGCATAGGGAAGTTGGGGGAATTATAAAAACCACATAACCTGATGAAATTTTGTTACACAACAAGAATGTCAAATATGAAATCTACAATTTTGTCTTTGTTGCGTACAACAGATCGGTATCTTATAAATGTCTGTAATTATTGAATATTAAGCCAAGCTCCTTCATCTAAACACCATGACATTGACCCTTCACTTTCTTATACCTTAATTTAAACAATGACATAATCCAGACAACTGCTCAATCAGATCAAGCAACAATGGGGTATGATGCACATGTTGCCACACCTGCAACAACCAAATTCAAGATATAAGCATGAAGGGAATTCAACACTAATATTTTCTAAAAAGAATAGAAAATTCTGAAATCCAACTGAGGACGGGACTTACCACACATATTTTTCCCCAACTCCATCTTGAAGTAGCCATTGTCACCCCAATCGGCTCCCCATGAGTTCTTGATGAGCCAATATGGAACACCGTTCTCAACTCCATACCCTACTGCGAGAACAGCGTGGTTCACATCCTGCAACATAAGAAAAAGCATGGAGTTTTGAATTAGGCAAAAGATTTGTTTGACACGTATCTATATTTGACAGTAAGACAAGAAAAACCTCACCTGTGAAGTGCTACCACATGTTTCAGCAGAGAAAACCCCACTCTCATAAAGCCGGAAACTACGGATAACTTGAAATGCCACGCTAACTGGCCGGACCAAGGCAACTGCATGCTTTAATTCGTCTTCAGCACCCTATGTTCCATTATCCGAGAGATGAAACATTTGAATCCATAACACATTTGTTCTCAGGTTTATACCAGAAAAAGCAACACCATGTACTTACCATGGTAATGTTGACAGAGTTGGCGACTTTGACACCCACATTTTCGGATGAGAATTTGCATACACCGTCTTTTGCAGTGTAAGGGTAAGCTTCCTCAGTATCAAGGCCGTCATTATATTTGATGTATTCAAAGGCATGAGACGGCAACCCACCATGGCAACCGTTGTTATCAAAAGCTCTAGCACAGTCCACAAGCTGCTGCTCAGATAGAGAGATTCCTTTTCCATATGCCTGATGATAAGCTGCCTCCAAAGCCCCAGTGGTACTGCAATATCCAAAGGCATAAAGGTCACAACTTAAAACGTTTACGAGTTAAACATTCTTCTTAAAATACCCGTATCACACACGAATTAGATACATATCTTAAGATGAATACGATAGCTAACCTGAATGTCCAGCAAGACCCACATTTGCCCTGTTCTTTGACGGGGCTGACGATGCCTGCTTCCCTCCAATCTTTCTGCAAATATTATTCCATTATTATGCACATGTTATTCACTTACGCTCCCTTGATTCTTATGTCTCACACATGAATGATATGATATGATTTTCCGGTATATGAAAATAAACTTCAAAAGAAGTAAACATATTAGCATCTACCAGATATTCGTATCCAACATTCAAACCGAATAAGCATCGTAAAAGATTCTTTATGTTCATATTTGTACCGATTCAGGAAGGACGTCATCAGTGAGTTGGTGATTGCCTTTTAGAGTAGCGGAGCAATTTTGAGAAGCACCGAGCTTGTGTTTTTGAAACTCTTCCCAGCTCCAATCAGCAAACTCTGCAGCATTGATTCATACAAATAATCAGTTCATAGTAAAATACAAAACAAAACATCATGAGTTCACAGTATCATCTGAGCCAAAGTAAGTTCAGGCTACCGTTGACCTGTAGCCAAATATACTGAAACTGAACCGAGCTAAATCAGCTTGGTGCCGGAATCAGACAACTCCGATTCATCTATAGATCGCGGATATTCACTGACGTAATCTTTCAACTTAAGAAAAAGAACTTACTATTAACACCAAGTGTATAAGATAAGCCTTTTTTGTTAGTGGATCCGATTAAATCCAAATTCTCTTTGAAATTCTGAAACCGAAGCTTCATCTCCTCCACGCTCTCGTACTTCCTCCCATACCTAAACCAAATTAAAAAAACCCCAAATTTTCATCTGAATTTTCAATTTTTCTTGAGGGTTTCTTTTTTTAGAGTGCTAAACCAAAAAGGCAAGATAAAGGGTGTGAATTTCGGATGAGTAAACGAAAGCTTACTTGTAAGCAAAGCGGGCGAAGGAGATAGCATGACGAGTATGGCCGATGACATTAAGAACAGAGGACTCAAAGCCACGGAGACCGTCGGATACCATCTGAATAGGGTTGGAGTCGTCGAAAGTTGATGCAGCGGCAACGCAGCATAGCATAAGGATGATGGAGGATACCGACGTTAATCGAGCCATGTCGTTTTCTCTCTCTCTCTCTCTTGAGAGCTATCTGTTCAGTGGATGTATACTTTTAAAGGAAAGGGGAAGCAGGGGATTGGTTGTACCAATTGACAGTTGGGATTATCCCACGGCAGTAAATAGAATAAAATTGATTGATATCTCGTAGCCATTCCAATAGAAAAAATACTGTAAAATTAGGTTTAAAGTTTTTTATTTTTGGGACAAATTTTTAGAATCAAAGTTTTTTATTTTGTTAAAAAACGAAAATAATAATCTATAAATCGATATATTAAAATAGATAGATTTTTACCGTATCTAGTGGATTGATGTATTAGATTCTTTAAGTATGATAAGAGATTTGAACTTTAGAATTTACGAATAGAGTAAACTGGAAAGAGTCACTCCTATAATGAGTCTCTGCAAAACTTAATTTAGATTAACAGATCAATTTTTATTTTATCTCAATTAACAAGTTAATGTTTATCTCAATTAACAAGTTAATAATTAGCTCTAACAGTCGTCAATTTTTAACAAAAAAATAACGAATTTGAAACATATAAATAGTTTAAAAGTCATTGTGCAACTTTTAATATTATGTAGACTCGACAAAGTAACACTATAATTTAATACTTAACAAAACAGTATCATATATTGGAAACCATTTATATACTTCATCTTATTTTTTAATTCTTTAATGATCTAAAGAATAATAAAAATAAAAATGATATAATTTAAATTCTTATTTACAATAAACCATTTTATAAGGAGTAGTATTTATAAGGCTTAATACAAAAATAATTTACTAAACAATGCCTCGAAAAATGTTTTAATGTCTAAAGAAAATTTTATTAAATATATGTTTCTAATGTTTTCTCAGTTATATTTTTAGATGTCGATCGTTATATTTTTAAAATTTTCAAATTTACTAATAATAAAATATTATTTTAAAAAACCGAAACTTTTATTGAAATTATAAAAAAATCTAAAAAACTAAAATAACTCATTTCAACCTCATTATTAACTGTCGTCGGCCATTTTCGGCCACCATCATCGTTGAACACTTAGATTTTGATCGAAATTACACGGTGGTTAGAATGATGGTGGCGGTATGATTATGGACATTGGGATCGACCATAATCGACGAAAAATAGTGATGGTGGCTTAAATCCAACAAATCTTTTAACTTTATCTATGACAAATTGTAGCACTTTATGATAAAAGATTAATTGGGGTTTGATCGGGGGTCGATATCGGTACCGATGAAAGTGAAAATGATGGTCACGGATGGTCGGCCGACGGCTGAGGAAAAGGTAAAGGGAAAGGGGAAAAGAGAAAGGGGAGAGAGGGGATCGACGCGCGCTATTAGGTTGTTGGTTTTTTTAAAATAAATTTTTAAAATTATCAAAACGTGACACGTATTACTTAACGGTCAAATTTAACGATCGTTATGGTCTAAACACCTAAAAATCTCCGATGAAAACATTTGACACTTATTTTATAAAAATCTTTAGGCATTAAAATATTTTTCTAGGCAAAATTTAAACATTTATTCTTGTATTAAATCTATTTATAAACGAAGATATTTTATGCTTACATCATCACCTCTCAGTCGGAAGATCAAACAAGGCATCTTTGCTTGGCCAAATCCAATTTTTCATTATGCTGAAAATAAAAACTAAAATTTTATGAATAATTATTTGATACATAAATGATAAAAAAAATTATTCACAAACAATTTTAATCTCGTTCTATCTCTTTATTTATTTATTTAAATACTAATTAAAATACATAAAAATAAATTAATTTTTCTAAATATTTATATATATATATATATATATATATATTTTTTATAACATTTTTTGTGGTTTTTCGTTTTTATATAAACATTTCAATCCATGGACATCATTTACAAAACCTTAAGTAAAAAAACTAGAAAGAATCTTATTTTTATATATTAAAGCAGTTTATTTGTCAATTCTTCTACCAACTATTTTGGTTTTTTCCCTCAACTTAAAGGAATACGAGCATTTACAACAAACTGAATTTTATTACATTTTGGGTTCCAAAGAATAAACAATAAATAAATAAATGATTTGATTTAATTTAATTTTCAAAGAAACACCACCAAAATATTTTGCCACATGGAAAGTCAGTAGTCAGTTGTGTGTTCTTTATTTACAATTAGCTTTTAGTGTTTTATTAAATACTATTGCACAAAGCAAGTGGTGAATTAGATAATATCTTTACATGGTGGGTGAGATCCATTGCGATAATATCATCTGCCCATTTATGTGCCTCTATATTTTGATTGGTCCACGTGTTTCCCCCTTCTCTTTGTTTAATTATGCATTAGCAAGCACAAAGTTGAAAGATTAATAATAATAATATTATCTCGTGACGTACAGTATTTTATGTTTTCAACTTTAAAAATCCCTACACAACCGGATATATTGAAAGAGTAAGTGAGAACTTCACCAGACTCATGGTTACCCAACTGTTAGGACATTTAATATTGAAATCTAAAAATATTCATTTAGGTTAATTTTAATATTTGTTATCAGACCGTTAAATGATTAATAATATGATACATCCACATGTTGGGTGGCTGAATCAATTAAAAATATCTTGTTGCTTTTACAAGCAATGATTTTGCAAGAAAACAAAACACAGGAGATAGGGTTTGGACAGTGAAATATATGGGCGTAGGAGTAGAGATATTATAATGTTAATGTCAACATTGAAGATTGGAATTTTCAGATTTCCTTGGTATTCCAAATTGTATGGTGATTGTTGGATTGGAGAATATCAATGGCAAGTGTGGTCCATGTGAGATGCTTATATTTTATGTACGCGTGTTTCCTTTTTCCGAGTATAATAGAGTTGATAGGGAATTACCATCATAGAAGTACATGTTAAAAAGATAAATGTCTATAATTTTAAAAGATAAAAATAGATTATTAATGAAAAATATTAAAAAGATATTATAAATTAAAATATTTAGAGAGACTACCTTCCTCGTAACATGCGTTGATATTAGAGGTACCCTGGTCCAACACTTGATTCTCTTTCTCCCCCTTCACATCTCCCCTATAAGAAATTAAATCTGAATTTGGGGTTTTGGGAGACGGGATAAATTAAGAAAAGTAGAAGATGGGGGTATCAAGTGATTAATATTTGCAGGCATACTTCAAATGTGATTTCTTGGACTTCTTAGCCCATTATTTGTTAATTGAAGGCCCGCAGGAGCACGAGTTTATGATTCGGCAAACATGACGCGTTTAAGAGAAGACGACAACATCCCGGGCAGAAGGGTTCCTCTTTCCAGAGCATTGAATCCATAATTTTCACTTGATGATAATAATAATACTAATAAAGGTAGTAATCAGCCAGAAAAACCCAGCTCCACTAAAGAGATTTGACTTTGAATCTGTAGGGTTTTAATAATTTTCTGCCGATTATATAACTTTATGTTGTCTTTGTTTAGTTTAGTTCACTTGGACCATGCAAATTCAACATTAATCCCTTGATTTCATTTCTTTAATATGTAAGCTCCAAGTAATTGGATGTTTTTTATATTTGTAATTTTACATATCATTAAAAATCAAATAATAATATATAATTTATTTGGCACTCTTACAAAAATTGTGTTATGGAGCATTGAATTTGTTAATGCGAGGAGACGCCATGACGAACAATTATCTCAAATCACTCACCTATTCCCCCCATTGACAATTTTGCATCGTTTTACCATTTTCATGCTTTTGAAAAAGAAAAATTACGACATCTTTTGTCTTAATTAAGCATAGTCCCTGTCATTTAAGTCTTAATCCCCATGCATAACTTTGCAAAAATCATGCTTTGAACTTCAACTTGGCCACGGAACCTTTATAATATCATTTTTCTCTCGTCTTTTTTAAATATTAAAATCAAACTTTATTATCTTAAAATATAATTAAATTGATAATAAAAATATATTAAAGAAATTTATATCAGATTCATATTATAGTATAAGTACACATCTCCCCCACCCGCCCTGGGGCCCTACCTGTGAGGAAATGTCAACATCAAAGGAAAAGTCCACAGAGTTCACGCGGTTGCGATGATGAGCCAGTGATGCATTTGACGACAATTTTCATTTTGCCATTTCAAAACTAAACATTAATTTTATTAAATTAAAACTATTCTAGAAGACATATCACTGTAATAATAATAATATTCTTTTACAAGACCAGATTTCAAATTTGATCAAAACCATTATTTTAACGCTGATTTTAGCTGCCACACCGTCAAATATTAGCCATGTTTTCATACGGACACATTCCAAAGTTTAAATTTTTCCCGATACCACTTTTTACAGAAATAGAAAATCAAAGAGGGCTGTATGTTGGCAGCCGCGTTCAATTTTTTGTCTTGCACCACCTTTTGTGGACTAGGCTCAATTTGCCCTTCAATCAAATCTTGTTCTCCCTCTCTCTATATTACTATACATATTAATTACAGTTATAAACATGTGTGGAACTTGGAAGATTTCCAAATGTTTATCGGCATGATATGAAAGACGGAATCAAAGAGGGCTGGAAGCTATATATAAAGAAGGGTGCTTCAAATCTGTGTGTTGTGTTTTCAGACCAGTTTTTGTAGAATTATATACTTAGATTTCAGTCAAGAAGAAGAAGCAAAAATGACAGTGATGAAGTTTAGCTGGGGATCAATTATCCCAAGATGTTCAAAGGGTATTGAGATTGAGAAACCAGAAGAACCCAAGCCTAAGAAGGAAGATTCAAAGCGCGGTTCTTTTGGCCGGCTTGCAATGTTGGACCTAAGCTATCCAGGCTCGATGCTATCCGAGGATCTTTCCACGTCCCTCGCCGGTTCCAATCTCAATGTCTTTACGCTCGAGGAGCTAAAGGTGATAACACAGTGCTTTTCATCCGCTAATTTTCTCGGCGAAGGTGGGTTCGGACCGGTTCATAAAGGGTTCATTGATGATAAGCTTAGGCCTGGTTTAGAAGCTCAGCCTGTTGCTGTTAAACTCCTGGATTTAGAAGGCTGCCAAGGACACAGAGAGTGGCTGGTTAGTAAATTTTTTTCTCTCTGTGTGTTTAATGAATTTCCCATTTGCTTTTCAAATGCATGAAAGATTGGAATTTCGTTTCATTAATTACAGACCGAAGTGGTGTTTCTTGCACAATTGAGCCATCTACATCTGGTGAAACTTATTGGATATTGTTGTGAAGAAGAACATAGGCTCCTTGTGTATGAATATATGCCTAGGGGAAGCCTTGAAAATCAACTATTTAGAAGTAAGTTCTGTCTCTAAATTTACCTCTCTTTTTTTTGTATATTAAAGCGATGTCCAAATTGTGTTGCAGGGTACTCGGTGCCTCTTCCATGGTCAACGAGGATGAAAATAGCTCTTGGAGCTGCCAAGGGTCTTGCTTATCTCCATGACGCTGAAAAACCAGTCATATATCGAGATTTTAAAGGTTCAAACATCTTGCTGGACTCTGTAAGTTCTTGCCTCATTTTAGAACTGAAATATCGGACTTTCGCATGCCTCATTCACTAACATGTTGTTTTGTTTACCCAGGATTATACAGCAAAACTTTCAGATTTCGGCCTGGCAAAAGATGGCCCTGAAGGGGATAAATCCCATGTTTCAACCAGGGTAATGGGGACCCATGGATATGCTGCCCCTGAGTACATCATGACAGGTTAGAAAATTTCGATCTTTTGATTCTATTTTCTATGTTCAGATTGTCGGAAAACACTGACTGGATGTTTTTGTTTAGGTCACTTGACGGCGATGAGTGATGTTTATAGTTTCGGGGTTGTACTATTGGAGCTGCTAACGGGGAGGAGATCTTTAGACAAGAAGCGGTCTCCGAAGGAACAGAACTTAGTAGAGTGGGCTCGGCCGATGTTGAATGAACCTAGGAGACTTGGTCGGATAATGGACCCCAAGCTCGAAGGGAAATACTCGGAGATGGGTGCACGGAAGGGGGCTGCATTGGCTTATCAATGCCTTAGTCACCGGCCGAAACAAAGACCCAAAATGAGTGAAGTGGTTAAGATTTTGGAGCCACTTCTGGACTATGAAGACACCTCGGTTAGAACCTTTGTTTATACGGTCACAACCCAAAGTGGTTCGCCACCAAAGGAGGTTAAGGACACTAAGGAATGTAAAGCTAAAGCAGAGGTAAAGAAAGAGAGTGGCCATCATCATCATCGTCAAAGGAACCAAAAAGACCACCACGGACGTAGCCATCATAGCAAATCGTCGAGTATGTCTTCGGTTCACTCGGAAAATGACTCATTGAAACAAAATACTGAGCAGGGGCCGAATTCGCGTTTGCACCGCAAGTCTAGGGAAGAACACAATATGGACTAGAGGAACGGTATTTCACTTTGTAAATATTGCCTTTGGATTTGCCTACTGATAAACGTTGAAAGTGTAAGTTTCTTTTGAGAGCAAAGATGTTTCAATAAGGCTTATATAAGGAAATAATAAGAAAAAAAATTAAAGAGTTGGGTGATTTTAGGAAATAAATTGAAAAGAATAAATCACTTAAATCGTAATTGAATAATGGTAATAAAACACATGTATTTACGTGTTATAGATACGTATGAATAAAAACACGAATCAAGTAGAAATAACATCATGCATGTATTTGTCTCATTCCTCAACTCCATTCATTCAATAAAAGGTAAGTATAAAGATCATACTTATAAGTTCATTATCTATTCCCTGTTAGGCTTTGTATTACCGACAAATTCTACATTTTATTTTTAAGAAATCACTAGTTTTATTCAAAATAGGAAATATCTTAAACTATAATAAAGATTTACAATCAAAATCGTAAATTAATCATATAATTAGGATACTTTTTTTATAATCATTAAAACAAAACTAGCAACTTAAGATCAAATGAGGACTATACAAGAAAAGATTAAAATCTAACCAAGAAAACTCGAACAAAGATAAATATAAACGGATCTGATCGCATCAACAAACGAACCACAAAAGGGAATCAAGCTACTGAAATACCACCAACAAACTACAAATCAGAATCGAGCGACGTGAAAAGGTATCCACGAACACATAACAGGTATCCAAATCTAATCTGAGAGTCCATAGTAGGGAAGATAAACAATATAACATATAAGCGCTATCTTGATCAATTGTGGCGATGACTAGTTAACCATTAGAAAAATATAAGTGAAAACAATAGTCAAACGACGAAAAAACGTGCCTAAAGACAATAGAAAGTGTGTCATAAAGACAGAGGAAAATGTATCATACACGAAGATTTATTGAAAATAAAAAATAGGAGAAAACAAAACGACAATAAAGAATACTTGCGGTAGGCAACCAATAATAAAGTTAGTGTCGCTGCCGATCAACAGAGATAAAAAAAAACGGCTTATCGATGAGAGAAAATTAGGAGAGAAAACTAGAGGTTATAGAATGTTAGCTAACCTCTTAACTTAAATTCTATATTATTTGATATTAACCTGTATAAGTAGTTAAATATAATCTTGTACCCTTCTCGTTTATTAAATGTCTAAAGATTTATTTACTTATGATATCGGTTTTTTCCAATCTAATTCATGTTTATATTAATATTAATGAATTTGTATCGGTGAACGACTTTGAGTTATTAAAAAGATTTATCCAACTAAGAGGAACTTTGATAATTAAAGTTAAAGAATGGCTAATCACGGGCTAAAGTTCAAATCTCCTTTAAACTAATACTTTCCTAATTCAATAATTAGCGATGTAGCCAAAGTTAAGTAATGGAGGCAGGGCATCATTAGGCAATAAATTTCAAAAGGTGCGATAAAATTCCTTCTTACTAATAGCTAAATGGATGACTTGACATTCATCATTTCTGCTTCAACAGTAGAATCGTGAAAGACGGATATATACGTTGCAAAGTTTGAGAGCAACAACCCATTTATAATTCTATGTACTCCGCAAAACTTCAGTAACAGCACAGCATTTGGACAGTGATTCTGTTAACCCACAAAGCATTCAAGTTCAACCAAGACATATTCTTTGGCAAATCACAACCAAAACCCTAATAATCTAGTTTACCGGTTGTAAGGTTATGCCATTCGTGCTCTGCCTAGGCCCTGGCTGCAACATTAGCCAATATTGAACCAGTTGAGCATATGAGCCATCAAATTTCATTCCTACCCGTAGACAAACAATAATTGTACGGATGTCAGATGACTTGACCATTCGTGCCATCCACCATTTCAGTTTCGATTGTAGAATCGTGAAAAATACAAAGATTGCAGGGTTTCAGGTATGTTCAGTTTCTCATATTATATTCAAAATATGTTTCAGTCTTTCATATAACGTTGCCAAATTTGAGAGCAACACCCAATCTATATACGTACATGTAGTCTGAAAAAGTGCAAGAACAAGACAGCATTCCAACAGTGATTCATCCAATATCTGACCTAATGTTGCAGCCAGACCGTGTTGGCTTTTCGTTGTTGTTTGTTTTCTCCTAGTGATGGATTATGGATAGTTTTTGGAGATGATGTTGTTGCACATGAAACCATAGGCCACAACGGCTTTGCAAGGGATAGAAAGTTACTCTAACCCAAAAAATATTGTTTACACTTTGCAACCGGAAATAGAAACCGTCGCCTGAGAGATTCGAACTCTCGCGGGTAAACCCCATGTACTTAGCAGGCACACGCCTTAACCACTCGGCCAAAGCGACTGGTTGCAACCTAATAATAAAACAAAGTATCCTTGAATTATGATAGTGAAAACTTTTTTTTTAAAAAAAAGAAACATAATCATTAAGTCTCGAAATTTACGATCCTTTCTTAATCTCAGACTACGACATTTGTGATTAAAGAAAACAAAAACATTATTGTTTACATATAGGTGTTGATATGATTCATCTACCGATGCTTTTTGTTGGGTCTCCACATGCATAAAAGTATTCACCAAAAACAAAAGGGTAATACATCAAGGGGAACCTTCTCATTCCTACATAAAACTCCCATGTGAAATATTATCAACATTTTAAAAAATATTTAATACAACAATATACATATAATAATCAATCAAGATTTTAATTCACTTGTATTCAGATATATGTTTGAATACGAATATATAAATATATTTAAGAAAAATAAAAAGTTGGAAGCATTAGCTGTTTTTGCAACTTCTTTTGTAATTCTCATTAAACCCTTTAATCATTAATCTCAAATGATTATGTTATATGTAACACCCCATAAACCATAATTTAATCCTGCAAGGTAATTGAGGGCTTGGGGCCAAACTTACAAGCTTCCATGATTATAAACATTTATAAACTCTCGTCAAATACTGTGTTTAAGGTTAAAGTATTGAGCATTGTCTTGCTCTTTAGAACTAATTAGACTTACGAGCATGTACCACTCTTTCTTAATTACCTTTTTCTGCACTTTCTGGGGTTAGTGGATCACTGCTCTCTGGTCACTTATACGTACGTATCTGTGTGTGCGTATATTTTTTTACTTCTTATGCTAAACAGGTCAGCTTCCATCACCATCGGTTCATGTAAGATAATATTTAATTTACATCTTTCTTTTTATTAATTCAAAGTGTTTGGGATATTATAGCTTTCCAGTTCAATTTTTCACATTGTTTAATGTTTCTTCGCTTGGTATCTTATTCCATTCTTTTCCGGCTACTATATTTATTTTATACGATCCTCGTACAAACCCATTAATCATTCATCTATTTTTTTAAGTGAAAAAAGTACACAATATTTGAATCTAATAATTCAACTTTCCATAGCGATTTGTCACGAGTTTCAATGCATTAAAACATTAAATGTTGTTACTTTAGAGATATTGGGTTCAACCGGTCGTAAAGTGTGTACGTTATTAATAGATTAAATTATTAAAAAAATAATTTAAATCTTAAAATAGAAGCTAGATTAACATGTATGGGGACAATATAATTTAGATTTTGAATCAACTTCTAAAACATTTAAATTAAATATTAAATAACACTTTAAATATGACATGAAACATATTTAAAATAAATAAATCGAATTATAAATTAATGTATGCCTATCGCATAAATGACTTGTTGAAAATATGATGATTTTTTTTCCTTCAATTTTTGAGATAAAGCCATTTTAAAAATAAATACTAATCCTGTCAAATTGAATGGATTCGTTAGATTTGATCACTTGGCTATCCCTTAAATTAAAGTTTAAGGATAAACTACACTAATTGGTCAATCACCTCTTTGTATATTTTTATTTTGGTCATCAAATAAAAAATTTCAATTAAATCATTAATGTTACAAAAATAATTATCTTTATCACTCATCATTAAATTATTAACATAATTACTAATTTATTAAATTTTGACTCACAAAATAATAATTTTAGTCTTAAATACTTGTACATTTTATCAATTTAATCATAATCCTAAATACTTCAACAATATTATTTCTTAAAAATTACAAATTCTATGAGTTAACTCTCAAACATATTATCATCATTGTCGACACTTTTACTCTTGTTTTTGTCCAAACACTTCCTTGTCCCTAAAAAAATCCCTAAAAAGGTATTTGATATTTTTTTAATTTTTCATTCTCCTCCCTCCCCACTACTACACAATAAGCAATTCTTTTCCAAGCATACCTCAACTTTTTTTAGTGTAAGTTGCCTTCAATTTTGTTGGAAACTTGCATTAGAGAGAGCTAATTACTTGGTACCCATTTGAATATTTAATCTTATAGTTCTCTACAAATATACAAAAGTATCATGCTAAAGAAACCTAATAAATGATAGACTATGCAAATGTCAAGGGTTAAATAATTACTTTACTACTTAAAAACGAGCTACATCGTTAATTTCATTAATAACTTAACGGTGAACAATTGAAATGATCAATTTTATTAGTGGTTAAATTGAAAAAAGGTAATTTAATAAATAAAATAGAAACATGCTAATAGTTGACTGACCAACCGTTCAATTAACCCCAAATCTATTCGTAAAGTTAAAAAGTTCCATGACCATTTTTGAAGTTTTTAGGAAACAGCGAAGGAAGATTATGACTGTACCCAAATCATAACTACATTTAACAATGAATATTATTACAACTTTTCTTCACTTGTAATTCAACTAAACCCTATTTTATGTCCCAGATGGACATGTGTTATGTTATAATTTTGTTATGGAAACTCTCAATTTTCATAATATCCCATCATGCATAGAAATTATCACCCTACACCATGATATCTTGCAATCAAATCTTTTACTTTAATTCCATTATTTTTATCAAAGTTTTTGGCTTTTTCAAAGGTGTTTAATCCTGGGATTTTTCCAAAGCAAAATTCAAATTTGCGATATAGGCACACACATCTTACTTGATATACTAGGGTACTATAATTGTAGTAATATACTATAACTTATTTTAATTCTGTGTAAATAAATTGAATAAATTAATATTTTTACCTTTTTTTTATT